AGATTTTAGCAAAAATGTTATAAAGAAGAGTATTCGCTACTTTCATTTTATGTTCCAAACGCCAAAATCTTTTAAATATTTTATTTTATTTATTTATTTATTTATTTATTTTTGGTCATCCACATATTATTGTAACATGTACTTTTTAAAAATTTTCAGAGGAGACGCTTCATAGTTTCTCATTTTTAAACTCATCCTTTTATTTTTATATAACTAAAAAATAATCACTTTGGGCTTACACATTTTACTTATTTGGGTTAATTAAAAAAATAAAATCACCACCAAATGCTACAATCCTCTCAAAATAAATAAATATACACACATATGTGCGAATAAGTTAACTTTTTCTTGATTTGTAACCACATATTTGTGTAAAATTATGTACTGTTTTACACAAATGTGTGGAACAGAAGGAGGATACATTTGCGAATTCGGAGAATGAATCAATACTTTGTAGACTAAAGCAATAAAGATTGCGATCTGATGACAATGCGGTTAATGTTAAAATGTGGAATGGATAGTTATTATTTATTGTATTATCACAGAATTATTAAACTGCATAAAATCGCTAAAAAGGGTATTGGGCACTCTGCCAAAATATATTTGCAAGAAGATTTGAATTTGATAATGCATGTATCCTAAAAAGTGTTTTAAGTCAAAAGTTTGAAACTTGATAGCTAAATGTAAGTATAAAATTATGCATCTTAAAAGTGTTTTAATTAGGCACATGGGTCAAGTTTTTATTAAATAGAATAAGGCATGCAAGGGTTATCTGCTTAAAGGGAGAGATGTCATCGAGGAGGAATTTCGAAGAAAAACTGACCTATGCGTGGGTCTTAAAAATAATGCATATAATTTCCATTCAAATTACATTCATACATATTTTTATATAAAAATTTCGGGTATATGCAAAATTATTGTAAATTATTTTACTCGAAAAATATAGTGAACGCACAGAAATTAAAGATTTCGTCATGCCGAAAATGAAAAATAATGAAATATGTATGGGTATTTATGCATATACTTGTAAAAACATATATCTGCCTTTAACAAAGTACGTAAATATTTATTAAAATATTTATAAATGCTTTTGAGATGAAGGATTTATTCATTCATAAACTCCTGTGAAAGTTACTGTGAATAAATCTAATTATTATATGTGAATCTAATTATTACTGTGAATAAATCTATGAGATGGGTACTTAAGGAAGTAATAAAGAAGAGTTTTAGGATATGTATTGTTGAAATTAAGGGTAGAAAAAAAAAGAATTATTCCCTTACATTTTATAATAACTCAGTTACAAGTTTTAAATAATATTAAAAAAAATTTTAATTCCCTTTCAGAAATATTCAGGGAAAGTTAAGTACTATTTAACATATTGCCAAAAGTAAAAGGTACCAAAATTATAAAAAAATTTAATATGGAAAAACACAAGTATTTGAGTTTTCTTCATGAAAAAGAATCAAACAGCTGTTACTAATTTATTAAATTAAAATTTCTTTTGAATAACTTTAAAGAATTTCAGTTCTGCTTCAAAATAAAATGCAGGCATTTTATTTTTGACCTAAAATGATATAAACAGGAAACTGTCAAAATGCGGGAAGCTTGAAAGCTACACTCTGTTACTACAAATTTCCGTTGAAACCATTTGCTTTCATTCCGAAAGCATAAATAACGTACCCAAAATTGCTGAGTTGGAAATTTTAAATTCAACCAAGGGTTAAGAAATTGATTTATTTATCAGATTAATTTTTAACTCAAAGGGCGTTAGCCCACAAGGACTATTAATTTCAAAACGGCATTTTGCGTCGATTCGCTTTTCAAACTCTTGCCACCAAATATTATAGCTATGTATTATATTTAAAGAAGCTAAATAATGAATAATCTGCATTAATGTTTCTCGCATTGTGAAGAAACAACGGTACCTAGAGTCATCAAATTTCGAATAACGTAGTCTTCCAACCGAGCTTAAGCACTCGGAAGCCCGAATTTTTAATTTCTTTTATTATCTATTTAAAGTTTTGTAAAACTTTAAGGAATTTTTGATTAACAAACTCAAATATTTCAAAGCGAGCAGTAGCAACACTGTACGCGAAAAAAAATTATCTCCAGCACGCGAGACTGTGTATCGGAAATTCTAAAGATTTGCTGCTTTTAAATATTTTGTAATGTTGCTATTGAATTGAATTTTATGTGTTTTAAGTGAGAAAGAACGTGATATTTAATAAATGAATCTTAAAGTTTTCAGATTTTTTTTAAGCATTTTTATGGTATAAAATAACATTTGTTGCAAAATATTGTTAATGAAGTTCAAGTAAAATGACTTTTCTAAATGATTATGTTAGACTGAACAAATCATTTTATAATAATGAATGAAAAGTCCTAAAATCGTCAACTGATAACAGAACCTGCATTTCGTGAATGGATTTTATCGCAAACTCAGACCAGCGAACATCCGAAAGGTGTCCCCTCCCTGCGTCCGGATGGGTTAAAAACTTTACTTCAAAACTCCTTGACATGATTCTTTTATAACTAAGCATGTGATTATTCAAAATCCATAAAATTTGTTAGTTTATAATTACGTTTGTGCACACGAAACACCCGTTTGCGAACTGTGAATCACCTTCAAAATTTAAATTCTTAAATCTTGCGGTCTATTTGACGTTAGAAAGATGATTGAGATGTTTGACATTAGAAAAGTCCTCAACAAAGTCTTCCTAAAAATTTTGTTACCGGTTAGAATACGTTTCTGCTCCCCTCGCCTTATTAAGTGCAGCAGAAAATCTTTATTTTTCCTGTGGCCTCACACTTAATCTGTTGTAATTTGTTGCTTAATAAACTGAGAGAAATAAAAGCAATAATAAACGCCATTTTTAATAAACTAGATTTTTTAAAAAATTTTAATATATATATATAACTGATATAATTTAAATATATACAGCATTACTGTAATTACTAAAGAATGTTTCAAACGTCATATGGCACATAGAATCATTTGTTTTAAAATTTTCTTTTTCTTGCATGTAAAGAAAGTTCGTTTTAAAAAGAATTACAAAATAGACTGAAAAATCACTGGAGAATTTAAAATTATATACAACCATGTTTAGATTCTTGAATATATTTAAAACATATAGCTCTCATGTGATTTGGCGTATTTAATTAAAATTAAACAAGCCTAATTAAATTAGTATATATCTACACGCTTCACACGAAGCTATCAGTATCCCCGTTTTTAGTTTGGTTTAAGTGATTATAGCAAAGTCTCGAGGGCTATCTGCTTAAGGGGGGATACCTTCATGGAGGACTTTCTAAGGGAAACCGGCTCATATACATTACACACGGAGAAAACCACGAAAAACAGTTCGAGGGATTCAAATACAGTGCTAACCAGTTCGAGGGATTCAAATACCCGTTTTAACAAAATATAGATTACGTCAATTCACATTTACAATAGGCCTAACTGACAGAACATCGAAAATATTTTTCTGCTCCGCCGAAAGATTAAAAACACTATCAATCATGCTGTGATTCTAAATAAAATCGATGATGTAATGCAAAGATGTATATTTAAAGCAATTAATAAGGAAGTTAAAAAAAAGTAATATAATAAAAAAGAAATCTGAAAGGGTTCGAATTTTGGTATCCCAAAAGAGCTTGTTAAAGTTTTTTTGTGCCTCTCGCTGAGCTCGCTTTCTACTAGACTGCTGTTGCATTCACGCCTGCTAATGCATTTCCTTTTGTCTTTTCAACTTTACTATTAAGCATAATTTTCTACGAACTTACCATATGCAATTCAACAGCAAAATTATAAAAATTTTTAAAGTAGCATGTGATTAAAATTCCCGCTGAAGGGTTAAGTGCTGACATAGATTTTTCAGTCTTTTCTCAGCTTATCATAGCAATGTATAGTTTTCTTAGGAAGATGGTTTACAAAAATTTTTTTTTTTCTTTTTATTATTAACGTTTTCGTGTGTTAAATTTATAAATTTTATGTTCTTCGCACTTGACCATATAAAACTGAGCTGAATAGCAAAATCACAAAATATTTAAAAACCGCATACCTTTAGAATTTCCGATATACAGTCTCACGCGCTGGAGATGAGATAATATTATTTTAATCCACGCAGTGTTAACACTGCTTACTTTCAGATCATCGACCTTTGTTAAAAATTCATAAAAGTTTTACGAAATATGAAATATAAAATTCGAAATTCAAAATTCGGGCTTCCAGATGCATATATTCGGGAGGAGGACTACGTTATTCAAAATTTGATGGCCTTGGATAGGTCGCTTTATCACAGTGCGAGAAACATACCTACATTAATGCCGATTCTTCATTATTTAATTTCTTTAAAAGTAATACGAGGCGATAGTATCTCTTGGCAACAATCTGAAAAGGGATTCAACATTTAAAATGATATGTCGCCAAAATTCGTTTCCAGATTTTCGGGCCCATTCGGCATGCTCTTTTGGGCTAAAAATCAAATGGAAGGGTTTTTATATAAATCCCGATTTTAGTTGTATATAGCAGTACTTTTTAGACTGCCAATGCATTCCTGTACCTATGTGGACTATCAGTTATAAAATTTCAAATTCATATATCTTGTGGTTTCGATACTTTTTTGAACAAGAAAACGAAACTGATATGACATTACTGAAAAGCGGAAAAATTCTGAGATTTATATCTAAATTACAATGAATTTACAGAATCATTGAAGAAAATCTGAATATAATCTAGTTCTCGTCTAAGAATAAGCACGAAAGGAATGGTCATTTTTACGTGGCCTTGAAATTCCTTACCGCTTCCTGCTTAAGACTGCTATAGCGAATAGGAATGAGATTAGCTTGTGTAACTTTTATTGTAGCGATAAACAGCCAAATATGCTGACCACAACCGGCGTTTATAGTGCCATCTGGGCGAACTCCGCGATTGGACATCTAACATCAGCACATATGATGTCAGTAGTGACGTCAGAAACCATATGGTGAGATTTTAAGTTCCTCCCATTGTATACGATTTCCTTGTTTATTCTTTGTAGCGATTATTGTTCGTCTGAATAGGAAAGGGAAAGCTGGTGTCCCTTAACTTTCGAGTGTTGATTTTACGGTTATGATAATGATATCATCTTATCTTAGACCTTGAAAATTATCGAAGTGCTTTGAAAATCTATTCATGTGACAAAAATGGTAAATGTTATTCTAGTAGTAATCATTTTTTTATTATTATATTAATAGAATCTGAAGATAATTCTGGATGTAATTCATAACTATAGATGGATGTAATTCTGGATGTAATTCATAACTATTTCATCACTATGGAATAAGGTTTCTCTCCATTTGCAGTTTTCCCGGAAAATTCCATTTGTCTTTGTTTTGAATTTATTTCAAATATCCCGTTTCAGATATCCCAAATCATTTTGTGCTTAGAGTGTGTATGTGAAGAGGGATTACCGTTATTGAATTTTACTACTTTTTAAGTATAATAATGAAATACAAACGATAATTCACTCACTTGATACTTTCTATTCATTACGATATTAGTAATATTTATAGAGATGCTTCTTTTTACCCTCTGTGCTTCTATTGGTAGCATATATAGAAACGCCCATGTATTTGCTGGCAATTTATCCCAGGACGTACTCAACCACATGAAACAGAGAAAAAAAAATGATAAATGCATAATGTTTAAATAAATGAAATTCCACACTGAAAAATATTCTGGGCCTGCGCCATAGCCTGTGCGACCGCACTAAGCCACAAAATATATAGAACAAAGAGAACCACTGAGCAGAATAATTTTCAGAATTTTTAGGAAAGGCGCTAAAAATTGGAATTTATAGCGGCACGCGGCAGAAAAATTTAGGACATGCAGAGATTACACCGGGCAGGAAAATACTTAGCTCCGGGCCTGGTGATAGAAGAAATTTATCTCTAAAATATTAATCACATTAGTTAGGGCATCAAGAATTTTGGCCTGTGCTTCCTGTTTCCATGTTTATAAAAATAGAACGAAACTAAGTAAAGAAAAAAAAAAAAAAAAAGATTTTATATTACGCTCAAACGGCTTCCCCCCCCCCATTTACAGACATATACACGTTTCGAGAGCATTTAGGCTAACACCACATTGTGCTAAAAATATTTAAAAGCAGCATATCTTTAAAATTTCTGATAGAAAGTCTCGCGAACTGGAGATAAAACTGTTTTATTTCCTACAGTGTTGCCAATGTTCGCATTGAAACTGTTGAATTTTTTAATCACAAATTCGTTATCACAAAATATGAAATAGACAATAAAACAAATTCCAAATTCGGGCTTCCAGGTGCCCTTGTTCGCGGGGAGGACTACGTCATTCAAAATTTGATTACCATAGACCCGTTGTTTGTTTACAATGCGAGAAACATACATACATTCATGTAGATTCTTCATTATTTAGTTTCTTTAAATATAATACAGGGAGAAAATATTTGGTGGCAACAATCTGAAAAGTGATTCAGAGGTTTAAACTGATTCAACGCAAAATGCCGTTTTGAAATTGATAGCCCTTTTGAGCTAAAAAGCACACTGAAAATATATCATTTTAGTGTGAAGGCGTAGAATAAAATATCAGAGCATTTTATTCTCCATTATCACGAAAAGCAATGGCGAATTATTTTATTTTTGACTTGAAGTTGCTAGCGCAATAAACTCTTCTCTGAAAAAAAAAAAAAAAAAAAAAAAAAAAAAAAAAGCTAGCTTCTTTTCAATACAGTTTAATTATATTTTAATAATATCCTAATACATTCATGCTACAAATTATAATACAAAAGTGACAAGAATATGATAAAATCTCGGGTTGTGTTCTGAAGACAGAAGCGCCCACTGGTTCGAGAATAATTTACCCCAGGACTTCCCACGATCACGTTAAGTATGTGATAACGAATAAATGATGTCTAAATGTTTAAATGAAAGAATCCGCACCTTGAAAAATAGTTTAAGTGGTACGAGAAATTTTCCTCGAAAATATAAATCCCATTATTCAGGCAACAAGAATTTTCTGTTTCTATGTATAACTTATAGCTTCCATAATAAATGAGAGGTTAAATACGAAAGCTGTTATGAAGATATACAAGTATAATTGATCTAAACTTGAACGAGAATTACACAGACCTTTGAAACGCTTGCTTTTCCATACTATCTGATCTTTGAGGCTTAGTTTTCTGGAAATTTATATTTATATCCATTCAAGAGAGTTTCAGGTTAATTTACCATAGCTGGAAATAGGAATAAGAACTCAAGAATGAAAGGTTCTTTTACCCCGCCAGATTTTAGGTAGGTTTTCCTAGTTACTGTAAACAGGGCCCGTGTCAAAACCGATGCAACTTGTGCGGCTTCACCGGATAGCATATTTAAGAGGGACCAAACATTTTTAGTCCATAGGCGGGAAAAAGCCCACTCTTGCGAAAAGCTGCCGTTGTGCTCTCAGTCTGCGAGTGCCAGCATTTTATATGGTACTATTTTAAGCTGTAATCGCGAAACACCAGTAGTTCATTTGATTTTAAAACTTACAGGATCAATCCTCAGTTTAAAACTGAGGAAAACTGAGGTGTTGGATTAAAATCTGCGTACGTAAATCAAATCGCCGTTTCTTTTAAATGTTATCACTTTTATAGTTTTTAAATTTGAAAGATGTGCTTTAAATTTTTTGAAACTTTAATAACAAATTCTTCAAAAGATTGTAATCTGATGTTTTCTAATTTTCATTAATATAATTTTTATTTATTAATTATTATTATTTCTCCTAAATCTATCATAACGCACGCAGATGTAAGTTTTAAGTTAAGATGTACATTATAAATAAAAGAATGTAAGGAAAAGAAAAGGAAGCAAAAAACGGGTAAATAAATAAAAATTTAAGTTGGGATAATTATTTCAGACGAATTTTAAATATTTAGACAGACAAGAATTCTGTAGCTCTTCAGAGAAAGAACTGATGCTTATGAATCAGATAGGTCCATTAAACTGGTTTGAGCATCCTCATTTTTGGTCACAACAAACATATTCTAGAAGAATGCCATTAACATCTTTGTGTATGAAAAACTGATGGGAATTTTTTTTTTTCCTTTGTTCCTTAGTGATGCAAGTTATTTCTTGTTCCAAATCCAGATACCACTTTTAGCATAAGACAGCATTTCGTTTTTAAGTATCGTATTATTTTATTTCTGAAGGGTTTATTTTCTTTACCAACTTAATCTGATTTATGAAAACTATATGATGTATTTTGATCTCGAACTTATCTTGAATAAAATGCCTATCAAGCACATTTCAGCTATTCCTGAGAAATAAACAGTTGAACAATCCTTACAACGTATAGCACTATCTCTAGTAAACAAACATTGCAACATTTACAGATTAGTTTGCCAGACTGCAACTAGTAAAAGGAAAGACTAATAATAAATTGTTATTGAAAATAACTTTGTTTTGAAGCAATGCTTAAAGATTAAAGAGGGAGCGAGCTGCATTTTTTGAGTTTATAAATTTAGTTGTTCGCCAAAAAAGCTTATAAAATTATAAATTATTATAAACTGGAAGTAACTATACTTACTTTAACTTACTCAGAAATATTTTTATTTTGCATTCAAAATTTACTGTCCTAGTCGTAACAATTTATGATGCAGGGTTTCAGTTGGGGACGAATATGAAGATATTCAGTGATAATTCGAGATCTGCACTCCATATTCATCGTCGATATTCACGATTCAAATAATTAAAAAAACAATTATCATATGGATTTTACCAATTAACACAACCACTTTAGTCGAAATCGCCAAATTTTCAAAATGCAAAACTTCTGACAGCCATGCGCGAAACAGTTCTTCAGTTATAATAAATAACGCTGCTATTTTTCATATGCTTCCTTTTTATTATATTCCAAGTTCCGCTGATTTTTATAGACAAATCTGGATATTTTTCGTATTAAAATTTAAAAATATGTGCGTATGGGCTGGTTTATTGAATTATGGCAAAGTAAGCAAGGGTTATCTACCTAAGGGCGAAGAAATGCATTCTTGGGGGACTTTCTAAAGGAAATTGGCTCATATCCAAGTTACACATGCAAAACCATGAAAACCAACCATGCCAGCCGCCCGTTTACCTGGAACCTAACTACCAGCGTTCAGCGATTTTACTTTTCGGCCGCTGCTGGGCTGCGCTTATGGGATTTGCTTATATTGGAAGAAAGTGTGGGAAGAAAGGAAGAACTGGGGAAGGAAATGTGACTTTTTGTAGGAATAACAGTATTTTGCTACAGAATCTTAAAAGAATTGCCTTTGAATACATTCTTCACCACGAAGTTTCCATCAGAAAGGAAATCTCCTAACTGCAGCAAAAAATCTCTTAACTGCACAAATGCGATTGCATTTATACATAAGTACCGATTTTATTTCATATACGGCATTCTTTACGGTGCTATTGCTATTACTTTGTAGATTTCGTAGTTTTGCAAAATAGAAATTGTTGCCACCTCACTTGAAGAAAATATTTGTCGCAAGCGTTGTGCCAACCAGTGAAAAGGTTTTCTATTACGTATTAAAAATTAAGTCTTTTCTTTATTAAATAAGTTCAAAAGTCTGCATAAGGCTTTAAATTATGAGGAAATAATGTAATAACAAATTTATGCCTGCTTTTCGTTTGCCTTTAATAATTTGAAGAATTGTTTTTTTTTTTTTTTTTTTTTTTTTTTTTTTTTAAACACATGATTTTATATTCTGTATAATGTATTTCTGTGAATCAGTTCTGAAACTAATAGGCCTACAGTATTTATTTCAGGAATTATTTTGGAATTTAAATGTGAAGTAAACACGGCAGTTTTCCTTCTCTGGCTAATAAGCCAAATTCCAAATACTTGAATTGTACTGTTGAGTGTGATTTTTAGCACTCTCATTTTAGGAGTTACAAAATCTTCTGTTCAGCTCTTCTGCACACACTTAGAATCTCGTTAAGTTCTAAGTTTTATCCTTTAGCAGAGTACTACTTTAGTCGAATGATCAACATGATTATTTTTAAATGAAATTTTTTTAAGAATAATCTGCAGCAACAGGCACAGGCAAAATTAGTCGTCAGGGATGAAGGCAAAGTTTGTTCTAATTGCAACTGATTTTTAATTAATTACTATAATTGTAATTGGATTTTTTTTATTAGCTAACTACAAG